AGCATGTAATTGGTTAATAGGGTTTCCATTTCAGGATTGACAACCTCAGCAATCTTTCATCGTTCAGTAATCTGGGGAGAAGAATCCTGCGCTGCGCACCATTCATTTCGTAGCTAGCATATCTAATGCAGAACTCTGTAGAAATGTCATGTAGGAGAAGTTTTTTTTTTTTTTAAAAGACGCCCCAAAAACCTACTGCTGCATTTCATGGAGTTCTGCTAAACCTGAAGAGTTGCCTGTCATTACTTACAAGTAATTGGAAGGTTGGATGTTTTGTCTCAGATAATTGATTAAATTTAATAGGAATGTAGATGTCATTTTTGGGTTGTGATCTTGTCATCTCTTATAAGTCAAACAGCAGCAGGATGCTAGCTCTGAGATGCTCCGCCACACTTCCACCCCCAAAGAGAGGTGTTTTGAAGAAGGCTAACAATAATAAAGCCCTGTTCAGTTTCAAGTCGTCACGAGTAGAAGGGTGCACCTTAGCTCTGTGCTGCTCTGTTTCTAGGGTTATTGCCCTTCCTTATCTGTCTTGATTCTCCATGTGAGTCAGAAGTCTGATTACAATAATTATAACATCTCATAATACTCACTCAATTGCAGTTGACCTAAAACATTCCAAAGATTTGAGTAGGAATGTCACAGGCTAATATTTCTGTTAACAATATTGAATACCACAAATATCAACTCAGTGACTGCATTACAGAATTTGCGCAGCTATCCATATAAAGGGACCTAAAAAGAAAAGATGACTGGCTAGATAGCTCAGTGGGTTGGAGCAGCTAGCTGCAGAGCCAGGAGTTAGAAGTTCAGTTCTCTACAGTGATTCACAGGGAAGTAAAATACCTCCAAGTACTTAGAAAACCCTGGGCGGAATTGATATAAAACCTCACCACGTACCATGTCCTAAGCCAGAAAAGGGCTCCTTCATTCTTATAGCTCCTCTTCTCCTGTCTCTAAACAACTTTGTGTGTGTGTGTGTGTGTGTGTGTGTGTGTGTGTGTGTGTGTGTGTGTGTGTGTGTGTGTGTGTGTGTGTGTGTGTGTGAGAGAGA